TATTACTTCTTAGTGGTATTGCTCATTGAACACGTCTAGGCACTGAGCTAGGTTGAAACGATAGATATATGACTATGCCAGAGGATGGCAGTGGATTTTTGTTTTGAAAGCTTTGAAGCATATGGGAGGGAGTTGCGCAATTTTGCTGTCTGGGGAAAGAAACTCTTGCTGTAGAAGGACTTTGAAACAGTGAATTTGAACGGTGTGACGATGTGAGATGGAGGAGAACCTAGTGGCACACTAAAAATTCTCAGTGGTAGCTATAGAACAAGTAGTACGGCTTCTAAACAGCGCCTGTGACAGTATCTGTAGAAGAGAGACAGCTGAGAGGCAACGTTTTGTCTGTGAAAGAAGCAGCCCAGCTTTCAATTACTGTACTTCATATTTTGACCCACTGACATTAGAATGACTTTCTGGCAAGCACATCAGACACCCGAAGGTGCATACTGTAAAGGTGAAATCCGCATAGTTCCAGCCCTATCGTTCAGCGACAAGCAGGTGTTTCGCTGAGATGTGCTACAATAATTAGTTGGAAGGTCATGTCATAGCTCTAAGTTGTTATACCCTTATACTCACACTTAGGGAGCGCTGAACGCTGTCCCAGGGAGCGCTGAACGCTGTCCCTAGCATCATCCAATGCCTTTTCTCCCTTTATTCCTTTAGGATGAAATATAATCATTTCACACAGGGAAAAAAATTGCCTTTGAACCTGCATAACCCCGTCCTGTATTATATCCCACATCAAGGGTATAAGAATTAAGTCAAGTGCAAAATGAAACGGCAACGGTCTCTGGTTATGCTTCGGTTTGAAAATTCCGAACGCGAGCAAAGCCTGCATACGACGAACCACGAGAAACCAATAAATCTGACTCTTAAATGGATCTAACCGGTCGGAATGTGCTGAACCTCAAACGTAATTTTAAAGATACTCTATAAAACCTACAAAGTAACGCGCTGAATGTGGCTAATAGATTTATATCATGTCGTAAATTGGGTAAAGAATGGATAAATGATTTACCAAAGACTTGCCATTATCGGGAGTAATTTACCCACATATTTAAATCTTCACTGAGGAACTTTAGGGTCATAATTCATTCCACTTTGTCCTTCTGTGCACTTGAAGATTTTAGGACTCCATGGGTTACGAGAAACCAAGTACAACATCAATGAGCCCTTGAATTTGGTCCCCATTGTAACCTTCGATTAGCGACCTATTCTCCCCGGCTATGAATATAGATGGAAGGATAAAACCCTCCGGTAGCTCCCAAAAGGCGAACGACAGCGGCGCCCATCAAACATGTTCAGATATCACTTCAGTGGTTTCATCCTTTTAACCTCTCCATCTCCTTTTGTTAAGTGGCATCAATGCGGCCATGCTGTCATTAGGGTTTATAGAGCTCTCATTACACAAATCTCACGTGTAAATGTCACATCAAATGTCAGTAACAATTTCGTAGAGAAAGTAAAATTCCTAGTAAATCAGACAGTAGAAAACATTCCACTTCACCAGTAGGTTCCCCGCCAAGGCCAGGTTGTACAAGCACTTGTATCTCCATCGATTTAAATGTTAGCTATGGTTTATTCCTCTGTTGTTTGAAGTAATTTATCACGTTTGAAAGCTTTCAACTTTTGCCACAGTAGTTGATGTTGTAGGAAAATGAGAATCCCGTCAATAAAAGCTAAGGTTTCTGAACTGAAACCGTTTGAAGAGATAACATTTCGTATTGAACGACAATTTCAATAGACCCTATTGATTCCTGTCACGCCAAGGAGTTACCGCTGCTTTCAAAATCACCACACTGGTTAATAATATTCCTGGAATATTCTATGGGTGCTCGGCATTCTCACATTGAACAATTCCTGGTCTATTACCATCGGGTCCAACACATTTCACGGTGAGGGATTCATACCAGCGTGTGATAATGCTCCTGACGTGATTTTTTTCTTCAAACATGTTGTGGGCGATGCAGTTTTTTTCCTGCCAGCCTTTCTTCTCTCTTTATCACGATGCGCAATGTTCTCCGCAGAAAGCTGCAAATCCCCTTACCGTTAACTTAGGATTTATATCAACCTTGCGGGGGCGATGTGGAAATGAAGGGGCAGGGAATCCACCACACGCCCTGCATCGTAATCATGCTGGTCCTTAGAAATTCTTTAAAGTTCTCTATCAGTGAATCCGTGAATCTGCTACTTCCAATGTCATCTAAACAATGTTGCCAGGGGTGCCTTGGAGCTGTAGGATCCGGTCAAAATGATGATACTGTTTGCTCTAACTTGCCTTTAGATTTTCAAAATATCTTTTTAGACTTAATATCTTTTCACTGTATAAAGAACATGATATTGTGGCTTTGTGAGTGTGTGCGTAACAAAATAAGTTGTAACTCGAGCGTACGTCACATTGCCCATGTCCTTTTGTAATGCTAATAAAATATCTTAAAAGTGCGGTTAGTACCTGTATGAACAGTCAGGGAGCAGGGAATCTACCACACGCCCTGCATCGTAATTGTGCTGGTCTTTAGAAATACTTTAAAATTCTGTATCAGTGAATCCGTGAATCTGCTACTTCCAATGTCATCTAAACAACATTGCCAGGGGTGCCTTGGAGCTGTAGGATCCGGTCGAAACGATGATACTGTTTGATCCGACTTTTAGATTTGATATCGTTTAGATTTAATATCTTTTCACTGTATAAGTCACTTGATTATTTCTATGTGGCATAACAAAATAAGTTGTAACTTAAATATACGTCACATTGCCCATGTCCTGTTTGTAATACTAATAAAATATCTTGAAAGTGCGGTTAGTACATGTATGAGCCATTATAGATGGAAGAACGATAGAGCTTTTACCTAACCAGTCATTACAAGCACCATCTACTATGATATATATTATTACCTTTGAACGTATTCTTTGAAAATATATTCTTTAATATGTGCATCAAATACATGAACAATATCATGAATAGCATGAATACGTCGGAATAGATTATCATTTACGGCACAGTTGCAATTATACTGTTTTTTTTTTCAATCGAAGACTGATTTGCATGTACAAGAGCGATAACTATACTTTCTATTCAAGTACACAGTTAACTCAACATGATTTTATTTGCTAGTTGGGTCATAGATAGTCAATCACCGGTCAGCGTTTATAGGCCATAAATAATTTAACTCGCTTCCTGGTAAAGGTTAGCTGTCTCGTACAATTCTTGTGTAAACATTTCCACCAAGGAGCAGCCCTGATAGCAAGCTTCCAAACATGAATTCAAAATTGTATCCGAAGTCCTTCTACATTTCACTTTCTGAAAAAAATGAATTCTGAAGTCGTTTCCATTATTTTCATTGCCGTCCTGGTGGCAAAATATCGACCATCTGCTCTAACTTTCCTTTACATTGTAGTCAATCGTCCGTGAAAGATAGTAAGGAAATTGCAAATCAATACGAAACACAAAACATAGTTCATCAAACGTAGACATCTTGTCTCCGTGACGTTTATGATTCAAAGTCAGGAAGTTGAAACCTTCAGCTGAAATATGAAGAGCCACTGGCTCTCTTCATCAAGATGCACTTGGTATGCTATTTGGGTCTCGAAGGAAAATTTTGGAATTCTCCTTCACAACTTAATCTTCTGTTGCTTAAGGTCTGGTCTCAATATAAAAAGCTGTGGGAATTCCTTGCAATGGGGAATGTCGTTTTTTAATGTCGTGATATATATGGCTAGGGATAAAAGCCTCTGGACCCCGAAGTTGGTTCCCGAAGGACAATTTTGGCGTTCTTCTTCACATTTTTATCTTCTTCTGCTTATGGTCTGGTCTCTATATGAAAAGCTGTGGGAATTCCTTGCTATGGGGAATGTGGTTCTGTAATATCTTGATATATATGGCTAGGAATAGAAGCCTCTGGACCCTCTGAGCACACCTCTTTTTCATATATAGCGTGGTATTCTCGGGAGGGAGGGGCTATTGCCCGTCTTCTTGGCATGTTATCATGTTCTTTACTTCAGGGCAGCGGAAAGGGTTCTGAAAGGATGATATACTGTTTCCATTTCACTTCTTGATCTCTGAACGTCAAAAGGGCTAAGTTCAATGTAGGGACTTGTATTGGGATATCATTCTTGGTGGACGGGAGCCAGAGATAAAAAAGCCTCTTACAATAGCAAATAGTGAATATATATACAAGTAATATCGACCGTGATTATGATCCATACATAACTATCAAATATTGATACAGCATCTAGTAACGTCATCGTCAATGATTTCATTTTTGACCATCTGGTGAATTTCGATGTTTGATGATAATTATGTGTTACTGCAATCTATTTTCTTGTAACACGGTTATACTTTTTCTTGGGATTAACAATTGCAACGGCTGCTACGAGAATGATTGGGAGTTCCAAACTTTCCATGTGAAATATAGACAAGCCTAATTTTCGAGGTGCAACCCAAGTCACATGTCAGCACTTTGCATGGCAGAAAAAACCTTGGGCGGTTGAAGATTAAGATGGGCTCAGAAACAATATTACCAAAAATAAATAAAAAAAAACCTAACGACAAAATGATATTAAACAAAGAAACCCCACTGGGCAGCTAGCAGCAAGCCACCCAGACATGATTTACCGGTTTTCATAAGCTTACCGATCCTAACCGTCGGCAATGTGAGTAATCTTCTCATTGGCTGTCTGGTGGGAACTACTTGAAAGCTTATGCAAATGAGCCGGAGGTACTTTGTGCTGTAGCCTGCTGCAGAGCGCCTGTATCTCGGCAGCTCTGCAGTGCAAAAGCCATCTCAGTAGAAGCTGTGCTGGATACCTTTTATATCTTCTGTACATGAAGACATTTTGTAACGCGATGGGGGAAATACAGTTGCACGGTGTGTGATGGGCGCTACTACTGAGAAGTTGTCTAGAGTGTGCTTATCTCTGTGGGATTTTGCCGGCTTTAATTTCATTCCCAGTGTGGTATGTTGAAATGATGTACATGGACTCTTTGTCCTCTATTACAGGACCTTCGAGCCAGGTGTACTGCGGCGCTATGGCCAACACATCGACTCTCTGCGGTAAGTACATGTATTAAACATTGGATTCTCTACTTCATTCAGATGTATTTGTTGCCATTCTGCCGATGTGGCACATCATGTATAACCTTGTAGCCTACAACTTCAAGCAAGATAGAAACCTTTCGAATCATGACTTTAAGAAACTAAAATTGTTGAACTTTAACTATATATAGCTATAAGCAACAGCCAGCATCGTATCGAATGCAGAACTATTGTTCTATGATATATATATATATCATTTTTCTACTATCTACGAACAGTTGCAGAGCCAAGGGAGGCTTACTCCATTGGTAGTATGTATAAACAGACGTCTGTGTTTAGACCCCCAACCTTTATATAGACATTGCGCCATGGAGTGCGCGTCGCTACATTGTGTAGTTGACGACAGGACGTTTCATTACAAACGGCATTGAGAGGAGTAATTGCTTTTCCCCAGTTTGCTACTACACTTTAGTAAGTGATGAGTTACTTACGATTTGGAGATCGTATCAATGTTCTTTTAGTACTTAGAAGACTTTATCTGCACTATCCCAGCGCCGTGAGCCCGACAGCGGGGGTAAAAGGCAATTAGATCATTCATCCCATTTGCTGGCGTAATTTGTGTGCGTACAGCGATGCAATAGTTATCGCGGATTAGAATCTCCATGGATGGTGTAGCTAGCGCATGGAATTCTGAAAGCAAGGAGGCACAGCAAGGGTTGTATATATACAGTGGAGCCGAGAAAAATGTTTTAAAAAACTACTTGCTACAGGGCTATACTACTGGCAAGGTGTACGTTTCTGGTACTTAACGTATTCAAAACCTTTAAAAAATCCCTTAATGCAAAATTAGGTAAATATATAAAATACTACTTCGTGATTGAAAGAAAAAACGAAACTCATGATTAGCCCCATTCTATTTTAACACTATAACACTATATTAAAGACTGATGCTGGTCCTTGTTATTTTAGTTATTAGAATCTTATGTTTTATTCTATACTTCTATTTTGTTCTATGATCAATCGTTGCCATGCAATAAAGTTCAGCGTCTTCTCTTATCAAAACTGAATGTAAAACTTAACTTCATAAAGACTTAATCGCAAAGGTTAACTTTATTTTATTTTATTTTATTTTATTGAGATATAATAAAATTGAATCATTCGTAATTGCTTTCGTGAGGCTTTTTTTAGTAACATCATCATAACCAGATTATATTCAGATTATACGACGCGACAACACAGGTTTTCCAGGTTCCCAAAGCCTGCACCATGTGATAATCCAATCTCAACTCACTCAGCAATCAAACCTGTAATGATGTGTGGCCTAGTGGATTAAAGGTTCTCGGATTTTAACGACCACATTCCCTACGGCTTAATAATGACCACCTCCAACGGCGCCCTCATCATTCCAATAAATAACTTTAACGAGCCTTCATCAGACAAACTATCAACCAATCAACATATGGGCAACCAAAGCTGAGTCTAGTTTGTCACCAAAACTATCACCAAATCTTTATTTAAACCCTGGTAAAAGCATAATAGATTTGCCATTCTTCTTTTGACTATGATTATGATTCCAGTCCTTCTTTCTGTGAAAAACACATTCAATGTGTATCCATGCATTCAGGCCTAGTTAAGGCACATTGTACATTTGTGGCGTTCATAGTCATATGATGTTCGTGGGAGAGATGAAATTCAAAGATAATGTCCTCTGTGGGACGTCTCTTTCCCTATAGTGCATTTCCTTCTTTCTTGTTCATATGCATTGCCCCAGGCAACATCCAACATCAACAAACCATTACTCATGTATGGCACAAATACATTATTTCATCATTCCCACTTCAGGCTTGGGGCTTTCGATACTTTTATGTCTCCCAAGTGTGTTAACGGGGTTCAATATATACGGCAGACTTTTTCAAACTCTAATATCACGTTAGAACGTGTAGGTTTGCAGGTTTTTGATTTAGAGGACATCTTCTGTTTATAAGTCCTCAATATTCAGTCAATGGCATGAAGAGATCTTCTAACGATTTTTAAAGATTGCAGATCGTTAGTTTTCAGCTTAATCACTACAGTTACTCAAATCACCATACATGGTATACCAAAATTCTTGAACAATACTCAACACGAGAAGCGTGCTAGGGTACAGACTGTGTTCCACCCAAAACTGTTGGCCATGTACAATCATTACGTATGCGATTGGTTAATGAGATGTACTAAAACCAGCTGAGACGCCACGCTAAAGTAGCTTGAAGAGTCATTCAAAGTCATTGAACTTGACTGATGAGATAAGGTGAAGTGTAACGGAAGAAAGAACTGCCTCAAAAACTTAATGTCAACATCAAAGTCAAGGTTAAGGTCTCAATAGTTAATTTATTGCAAAACATGTTAGGAAACTGCGATTCATACTATTGTAGAGGTATTAATTAAGTTTGGCACTCTATCTGAAGATAACAAAGGCAATACAAAATAGAAGCTACAAGTAAACGGTAGATGATTTTACCTCCAGTGGCATAGAACGTACGGGATGGCACCTATAAAGAATTGTCAATGGTCGTGACTAATATATAGGAACGAACTCCTCGCCCTACTATAATGTATTAATGTGTATCACGACAGTATATCAGACGGTCATGATGACACATTTAAACGTTGATGCAGGTTGACAGATGACGGAAGAGGCTGACAAATTCGCCGAGAAAGCAAAACCGTTCCAACACCATCTGCTGTGAAGCCGTCCATAAAAATCGTTTAGCCGGAGCTCCCCCACTGATGACATGCATCAGCAAAAATATCTCTTCAAAGTCTTTCCCTGTCAACGGTTCCTGCATAAAGAATTAATGGTGTCACTTCTTGTCTGTATTCATCATTTCCGGGGGACCGACTTTAGCTTTTACCATTTATCCCTTATTACCCCTTAGATACGCATCATTCTACATAATGAAAAATGCCAAAAGGTTAGGGCAAGACTGTACGGAAAGATTACTTTGCTTTTTGTGAAACGAACGCATATGAACAAATTGACATATGTTGCCTTGGGTATTTTCAGTGCATTTTGTATTTACCGTTCAAAGAATCAATCGAAAATGTCGAGTATACTCTATTGTATCTACTGTCAAACTTCATCAATTTATCTTTCAGAGACTCTTGATATTCGCGGACCACTCCGAGTCGTCACGGTGCACGTAAGTTAACAGACATCAACAGTCATAATTTCTTAATGAAGACTAATGTTAAAATCTACACAATTACCATAATTTTACGATAATTGTAATTGCTCTGACCGCCACTTAGTCTTCTTGCACATTGATTTACTAATGAGTAATTTGATTTTGCACCTTTATCTGGTAAAAAAAATCAGTGCTAACATCATGATCCAGTTGGAATTGGTGCTATGTTAAGATGTTCCCTACTTTTGGTGACATTTCCATGATCCCATGGCACACGAGGAGTTCCAATCTTCATGCAATTCAATCACAAGCCTTATTTGGTTCAACAACTGGGATGTAGTTATTTTTGCTGCGGGCAGTTGCCAGTACTTGCCAGCCACTCCAACTGTACATTATTACACAAAAGATATATATGAGATGCAAGAATTGCCTTTAACTGTCTTTACTATGTTCATCAATGTTTCCCAAATAGATGCTTTCGTGATTTACTGTATGTGTCCATCTTTGCCTATGGCACAAGAGCTGTATGGATGAATACAGAAATGAAATATGGCTTTTGTCAAAATAGGCGAACTTTTTTTAGCTTAGAAGTTCCATGTTCCATAACATTTTCCATTAATCATTGAATAATGCTCTTCTTGTCAACGTTTTGCTGATGGCAAGGCACACCCTTTTGCGACACAGGACAGCGTCAGTGCTTTTTCGCCCTCGACAGCTGGTTTCATTTCCAATTTTATTACCCATTCGTCAAAGTGACATTCCTGGAAATTAATCTCCACACGCTCGCTTTTTTCCAGGAACCGCCATTCATCATCCGTGAATATGAGGCTGACGGACAGCCCAGGTTTGTTTGTTTGTTTGTTTGCATAACCAGGAAAAACCGCATCAAGGCGTAACACACCAGTTTTCTTCTTCTTTCGTCCTGTCGATAACAATTAGATTATCAGCAGTTGCGCATACATTATGTGAGTTACAAAAAATATGACCGGTACAAATATAAACAAAGGGAAATAAAGGTAAGGGTACTAAGGAACATGTGGGTAAATGATTCTGTGAGTGCAAAAGATGACGCAGGACGTGTAAGGGCGACAAGCTACGTAAGATACACGTACTGGGGGGCACTGCTACTCCTATGGATAAGTCTGGAGGGTTCTTTTGCGTGCTCTCTAAACATGGGACCTTCAGATTCACTTCCCATCTGTACAAATGTCCTCAAACTTATCTAGATGCTCAATTCAACATGAGTGAAGTGAGGGAATTTGTGTTAATGCTTTTCCCACAGGCACACTATCGGGACCTGTAAGGGATTCGAACCCATTACCCTTGAAATCAACGACTCTAACTAAGGTTACTAACGTCCCACAGGTACAAGGGCTTCTGTATCGACATGCTGCACAAGCTGGCGGACATGCTGGGCATCTGCTACACCATGTACGAGGTGCCTGACGGGAAGTACGGGGCCGAGCACGAGAATAACACCTGGAACGGCATCATCGGAGAAGTCATGGCCGGAGTATGTCTGGTTCCAACCAGTTTTAACCAGATCTAACCAGATATGGTCCAACCTTTTCTTGTTTCATCTCTAGCAGGCAATATGCGCAGGGAAATAGCATTGGCGTTACGCTTGAGAAGTTTGTGTTCCAAAAGGTCATCTCAGCGCTGAAAGCAATCGCTCACGCGATAATTTTTCGTGAACGCCCATAACTATATCTTATCATCTAGAACATATATTTGGTCTATAATTCAACATATATGTGGTCAATTAAACACATCGCTAGACGCATCCCATGTACATTGAGTTTTAGGTTCAAACATCATGACTGGCAAACTTTCCCTGGTGGCGACTAATTGTACAAGCCTCCTGGCACCTTTGACCCCTTGCAGCGATCATTGTTGTATTACCTGGTAACAAGTCTCTCATGAGCTTGATCGGGCAGGGCTTCTAAATCATAGAGCCGGCAAAACCTCTCGCGGATTGTTAATTGAACCCAGCGGCAGGCCAAATAACCCCCTCTAGTCAGCCGAAACTAGGCCAGGCTCACAAAAGACATATTACCACTACAAGGTTAATTGCTGACAAGTCATGATTTGCTAGTCATTATTTTGTCAACATAGATTGTAATCCACATGGGCTTGGTCCTGTTGCTGGTATGGTCAGAGCACCAACATTCAGTTCTGGTTTAGGGCCTGGTTAAACCTGTCGTAGGATCTTCATACAATCACAAACTGAGGGCAATTCTATGGTTAGTTATATGTGTACGTGTGTGGTACAAAATTCAACTGTCTTGTTAACAAAAGGGCTTCAACCGATCCTTTTTAACAGTGCTACTCAATGCAAAATCAAATGACCACTTGTAGGCAATAAGCTAGATTTTACGATAGACATATGACTATGCCAAAAGTTGAAAGGGGAATGTTTGTTTTAAAATCTTGAGAATTGTATGCGGAAGGGAAGCATGTGTTTGAGACGTTGCCGGACGTTGGTTCTGCCACATTCTTCTTGGAAACCCTACGACACTAGACTCGCATGAAAGCCTACGATGAATAGGACAAGGCCATGTATAACATGATGTTCACGCTCCTTTCAGAATGCGGAAATGGGTCTCGGTCCCATCACCATCAGCTCTGCCCGGGAGACCGTGGTGGACTTCACCAAGCCCTTCATGGAGTACGGCACGGGGCTGCTGATGCGCAAACCCGAGCACGAGGAGCAGAACATGTTCGCCTTCCTCATGCCGTTCGAGCTGGTGGTGTGGATGTGCATCCTGGTGGCCATGCTGATGATGGGCTTTCTTCTCTTCGCAACGAGCAGGCTGCGTTACAGGCTAGTATCTCATACAGCATCATGGCAACGTTTCAACTAGTTTTCAACACAAGAGAATGAACTCGCCCATTTCTGATCTTCTTCAGTATAACTGATGACCCCACGTGACCTAATATACCGAGAGCAGAGGATCAAGGGTGGTTGGACTGACGACCTCCCATTAGAAAAGTCTGCTAGAAGACTTGGCGAGTCAATTTTTTATTGATCTTGTGTTGAAAATAAAGTAGTTGATCTATTTCCATCCTATTATCTGACAGTGTATTAGTTGCTAATATACTGTAAGGTGTAATGAAAATGTCCCATCTAACAACACAATTTGTATCAACAGGCTTGGCATTTCTGCAGAAAACATCAACGACAACGACTTGCAATTCAACATAAGAAACAGTATGTGGTTCGCCTACTGGTCCCTCGTTAAAAGAGGTGAGTTTCAGACGACTGTAAGCATCATTTCCGTCTTGAAAGACGATGATAGCACTATGATGTTTTACGTTGTGGTCGTGGGCAGCGTTTTGTGTGGCTTGTCAGTTCTATGACTCCTATATCCTTGCATGACAGTCCTGGTCACAGTTGGGAGTAGTGGTGAGGGTAGTCAAGACCAATTTATGCAACTTTGTGCACATTTATGCAAATTTGTGCACATTGATCCAAATTTGTACATATTTAGGCAAATTTGTGCAAATTTATGCAAATCTATTCATGTATGTAAAATTTGGTCTTGCATACATGGATGAATTTGCATAAATTTGTCTGGACCAACCTCATCGACTGTTGGGGCAAAAGATGGCCAACATTGCGAGGATTCTAAGCTAGTGTGCACCGCACTCTAGTAATCATTGCACTAATCATGATTGTATTTTCCAGGCGGTGAGCCATTGCCGAGATCAATGCCAGCAAGGATTCTTGCCGGGTTTTGGTGGTTGTTTGCGCTGGTAATAGTCTCGACATACACTGCTAATCTCACGGCATTCCTCACCATCAAAAGGCTCGTGTCTCCCATCAAGTCCATCGAGGACTTGGCGGCGCAGGACGCCATCCCTTATGGTGTGGAACGGGACGTCTTTCTCTACAACTTCTTCCGAGACCAGCAAGGTTATCAATTTTGTTATCATACTCTTGGTGGTGCGATTTGCATGAATTGTTACTTGAACGTATCGTTATTACAACTACGAATGTATATCTATTTGGTACGAAAAATTGTGATATTTTGAGAGGATGATTCCCTTCGATTTTCGATTTATTTACTTTTCGTTGTTTATTTATTTTTTCTTACTAGATGCTGTTATTCCAAACTTCAGGGGTTATTAATTGGCTTTGTATTGCCCCCTTGTGACTACCTTTAAAACTGTAGTTCCTATCGTCTTATGATGGCATTGCCACGAGTTTTTGCCTGTTGGCAGGCCATGGCTTTGGGAAACAGAGCGATTTTTTATTGTCGGTTCATATCAAATACCAACCTGATAAGCTGTAGCCATTTATTTTTGATGTCATAGTAGCAAGGTTGAAAGAAAGATACTTGACGGTAAAGACACTGATAGCCTTCTTGCAACATTTTTTTTTTCTTTCGTGCATGTGACCCCTTATCTACTTGATTACAGATTAACAAAGGGATTTTCTGACAAGGTATAGTGGTGATCATTGGAAAAAGTTGATCATCGCAATCTCCAAGCAGATGTTGGGTCTTGATCCGTGTTTGACGTATGTTTTTGAGACTATCTATACCTCTTGCTAATGGTCCACGTTTCGTTCTGCTCCTGCTCCCAAAGAGAAGAAAAAGACGTGCACCACTTGAAAGACGAACTCAATACTAGAAATGACGGCATTTGCTCTGGAGCAAATGCAGCAAATGGCTTTACCACATCCCCGTACCAAAAATGGACCTGTCAATCAATCAGCCAATCAGCCAATCAACAAGAATAATACAAGAAAGCTGCATGCCTATTAGCTCTTGCTCTGCATTCCATTCTGCTTAATCACATTCCCACTGTACAGTGCCAACTACGTGACATCACACGTAAGACACTGAGATTGCAACAGATCCTACATCTGCTTGGAGATTAGATTACCCAGTAATTCGTTTAAAATTTTAAAAAAAATGACCCCTTCGTGCTTTTTTTAACAGGAAGTGACTTAGAACGTCACGTCTTATGTTTGTGATTAATTCTAACCTCCCGGCGTAGCAAAGATGCTCAACATTAAGTTGGAGATATATTCCCTACGTTATTAATTATTTACCTTATCTATATATTTCTGTTCACCAAGCAGTAAATATAAATGTGGTATTTGGCATGTGACCTCTAACATCCTGCGATGTTCTGCACTTTCTGCCACATTTCCGTTAACCCCCTCGCAATTATTGTCATGACCATATTCTTCCCTTTTTCCATCTCATGCATGCCACTCCCTATAGAGCTCAAAGGCAAGATTTCCTTCAACATATACATTCGCACACGCTGAATCCGTTGCTACAAGGTTTTAAGTGATTTTCATATCTTATAATAGAATAGAGTGTATTGTTAGTGGGTAGGAATACAGTGCGTTTTCCACGTTTAGATTTTCACCTGAGGTAGAAGTGAGATCAGTTAATGCGATATGAAGTTATCTATCGTAACAAAACGATAAAAAATGCTTACTGTCATTGTGAATAACGTTTGAATCAACACAGGTATATCGGCCATGCTGGATTGAACACCCATTCCATGTCTCGAAAATTACCAGAAAGCCACAAACACATATGAAGCAAATGGGTGATTTTCTACTTTCAAAATGGGATTTTTTTCTACGTACATTGGCACAGTATTAGCAAACTAGGAACAAGAAAAAACTCGACTGAAATTTACACACCACACGCTATGTTTTGCAATGAGCCATTACTTTTGAAAGAGAATCGCAGCCTAGAAAGTTTTTAAAGATCATTATATTCCATGTTGTAGTGTAATCAAACCATGTAGACATGTACTAACTGTGTGTTGTACTCTCCTATCCAACAGCCGGTACAGTGTACGAGCGTATTTGGAATCAGATGAACGCCCAGGAAGAAAACGTCTTCGTCGAATCTCTTCAACATGGAATCGAAAAAGCGAGAACGAGTAATTACGTATTCATGGACGATGACGTGATACTTGAATACATCACAAGGACAGAGAAAGACTGCAAATTAATTCTCATTAGAAATCCTTTCTTGTTGCGTGGGTATGGCATTGCCACGCAACGGAATAGCAAGCTCACGGACCCACTGTCCATAAGGTCGGTAGCACCACCTTCTCTGTCTCTCTTGTTTCCAAAGCAATACACGTGCTCGTTATCATGTGTGTTTTTACCTCCATTATTTGTAGTATCCAATATTTGTTTATGGCATGGAATTAAACCATGTTGGATGCATGAATCTACTTTCTAATTCGTTTATCAAATATGTGATCCGATCTAGGATCATAGGAATGCCTTATGTCTTTTTCATGTTTATAATTTTTTCTGAACCTGTAGTTGAAAGCAACCTTGTCAACCACTGTGACACACCATCTGTGACATTTCTGTCATTTGATTTTATGACGCCATTCTTTTAACGGCTAGTTTGCATTTTTGCATTCATCGCACAAATTACCTTTTTTTTAAACTGCGGTTTTGTTTTGCGAGTTACGAGTGCACAGATGTTTGGTGTTCCATGTCCCCTCTGTTTTACCTCTCAGTGCCATTGAGACATGTTCTTAAAAACACCCTTGTATCTGTCACACCTTCTGCCCTGTCACTACAACGCAGCCAGACAGTCCATGGTCCTCGGACCATTGGCATATCACCACCGGTGCCTTACTGTGTAGTTATTAGGACTAGACACTATATAACGTTACAGTGTCTACATGTATGTCTGTGTGAGAGAGTAAGCATGTGTGAGACTTAAAATGTAAATGTAAAGGTTCATTTTTAGTACAAAAACGCAGCTATCATGGAAAAAAGGGAACTGAATGAATGAATGTGAATTAATGGATGCTATGGATGGATTAATGGATGGATGAATGAATGAATGAATGAATGAATGAATGATTCATAAAAACAATAAATTTCTATTTGCATATATGAAATAATAATAATAATAATAATAACTTTATTGCGCAACAATTGTACAGTCTACAGTGTACAAAGTATATGAAATAACATACAAAAAAATGGGTGAATGTCCGCATCCGGTTTAGCATAGAATGACAACAAGTTTTGTATTAATCTGAAATATTACTGTGATGAACTAACACTCTTTCTTCATAAACCACAGCATCCTAAAACTGGCAGAAGATGGGTCTTTAGGGCAGCTGAAAGACAGGTGGTGGCCCAAAGACGGGTGTTCCCTGGACGGCAGTCAGAACACGTCCAAAGCCATGGGCCTGGACCTGAACAGCTTCAAGGGCGTCTTCTTCATCCTGCTGGCGGGGGTCCTGCTGGCCTGCCTCTGCGCTGTGATAGAGATCGTCTGGCACAGATGGCTGAAGAGACAGTGCTGGTTCGAGGCTAAACCGGAGGAGAACAGTGCCCCACAGGTGGGTCTCTGATCTTCCCTTCCTGTCTTTACTAGACACAGTTCCTCAACTTAGCAGCTGCGTTTTCATACGTTTCATTACTATCATTGTGATATATGGAATAGCAGATGAAAATGAATTTGATAAGTGCGTTTTCAAGGTGAGAACGGGCAATCATGGTATAAGTGGGGTTAAATTGGATAAAGGACCTCTTACAGAGCACTTACACAGCTAATACACTATATAATCTAATAGGAGAAATCAATCCCAAGTCACTGTAGTGAGAACCTAGTGGACGTGGACACATCAAAAGACTCAGCGGCTCATGCCGGAAGTAAATTGGTTCAAATAACCTGATATATTTGTACCCTTACAGCAGATGCAGGTTACTACTGTGGTCCGTCACGAGGCCCGGGCGAAGGAAGAGAAACTGTTGAAGGCCATGATGCAGTTTCTGCGCGGGATCGAGGAGGGGAAACTTCAGATCGTAGTGCGCGACCAGATCAGTATCAACATGGACGCCGTGGACGCCCTGGATGCCTTCGAGGAAAACGAGCTAATGGACTCAAAAGTATAGTGCCAAACACAAGTGCCTCTTACTATGTTCGTCTACTTTATCATTTTCTAACCTGTAGTATTAATGTATCCCCAGTTTAAAGTACTGAAGAAAGACATATAGTATAACGGGTATGTCTATAACTACTTAGGCCACACTGACTGGATTTTAGGGTGATTTCCGTGCGCGTGTGGATTTTCGCCAGCCCCTTTTTTAAACGAAAAAGGGAAGTTATACCATGTTGTGGACCTAGACAACAAAGTTACCCCCTGAAAGAACAGAAATGGAATCAACGTCCTCTGAAAAATCAGCCTACCTAGTCTCCAAGCAGATGTTAAGGTGAAGGATCGTTTAAATGAAAGCTGGGCGTCCCTGAATGTTCCTATCCCAAATGAACGGATGAGAAGTTGTTAAGAAATACAGATAATGTCCAACTATATACATGTATCTATAACCTATCAATTACGCACAAGAAGTGAATTGTACGTTGTTATGCAATGTAGGTGGCGCTTCGACGGGCGGTTATGGTGTTACATGGGCCCCACGCGCGGCGCCCAAAAATCGATCATTTTTATGCCTTCTGGTCTATCAAATCTCATTATTGATGTACGTAAAGATGTCTGGATGTGTTCGGGAATCATTTGCTTCAAGTGTATTACCTTGTATGTAAAAACATTTTACGAGTCGGTACTATATACCGTAGCAGAGCCTAATCTGCAGTACCGCTAACGGCCGCGATCTGAAAAATGGCTAAGGAGACCGTCAAATTGCCAAATTTCGGTCTTTTCGGGAATTGAGAGAGGGCGAAAGGCTCGCAAAGGGGTTTTAATTTTTGAGGCTTATTTGACTCCGTTATCAATATTGTCACCATTAAATGTCAAAAATGATAATATAGTTAAAACATTTCCCAAACAAAACAATAGTGTATTAGATTAGAATTCTTCCCCATTTACCAATAAAAGGAGTCGTGTGTATATTCACTGCGCCGCGTCCTGAAGGGCTACCACGTCCAAATTTCAATTCTATTTTATGAAACAAGGCGACCTTAAAGAAATGTGACGGTGTTTTTGTCTGTTTTTCTGTTAGTAGATCAACTTTTCTCGTTGAAATGCTGTAAGGTGTGTGTGGACTAAAAAAGGTGCAATTTAGGCTTGATCGCCGGGAGGAGCCGCTTGGTTTTCCAATTTTTATTTGTTTAAGGCCTAAAAGGTGAAACCATGTGTGAAACCAAATAACAGAAGCTATTATGTATATGTATTTTGGAACCATGTCTTGGACCAAGTGCTTGTTGTGAGTCGTATGAAGAGTAATACTTACATGTCTCTCAATTCGAGTTACCATATTGTGGACACGTTCCTAACTGTTCGTGGGCTTCTATATAACGGCCTGTTATGACGGTATTTCTGACTTGACAAATAAATACATGTTCTTTGGAACCAACTGCTCTTCTGACTTCAGATTAATTGATATTTCAAGCCTTTATTACAATCACTTGGGTGCTCATTAACATAATATATCCAACTTCATCTTGATATCAGAACCACAATTCCACAGAATTACACAAAAACATTATAACATACATAAATGTGTCATACATGAAATACATGTAACGTTGTTTGAAGAAAGCTATAGTATCTATAAGCGGAACGCCAAATCAACATGGATAAATTATGATAATGCACATTGTACCCGCCATATTGCATGCACAAGTAATCCAATTCATAGACAAAATGACAGAAGCAATGTTGCATTTGTACAGCGTCTTCTTGTTTTACGAATTTGAAAGAAATTTGGACGTGGTAGCCCCTCAAAACGTGACAAATTACACTTGACCACTTGTATTAGTAAAATGCGAAGGAAATATGTCATTTATGACTTAGAATCCCATAGTTTTATTTACAGATATTGTTATTATTAATGTTAAATGGTCATATTTTAGAAAACAAAGCCAAGTAATCCTAAAAATTCAAACCCCTTCGCGAGCCTTTCGCGTATTCCCAATTCCTGAAAAGACCGAAATTTGGCAATTTGACGGTCTCCTTAGTCACTTTTCAGGTCGCGGCCGGGAGCGGTACTGCAGATTAGGCTCTGATAGAGTATATAGTCTCCACTTGTAAAATATTAATATATTCAAAACAATAGGCTTGAAGCAAGTGTAAAGATTGTCACAGAGGTTCAGACATCTTAAGTACACTAAGAATGAACTTGAATAGACCAGGAGGCATGAAAACAATCGATTTGTTGGCGCCGCGCGATAAGCCCTTGTAACAACAAACCCGCGCGTCGAAGCGCCACCTACATTCATACAATCATACATCATGCCTTTTACGAAAATAGTACATTAAGGATATTTGTGGGTTTTCCCGTAACATCTTTAGCCCTTTAGACAACTATTTATTCGCTTAAATGGGGTAAGGGGCTGTCAGAGAAGCCCTATCGTCACTTAGAAAATATTAGGATATTTCAACTTAACATCTGCTTGGAGCCAACTTGACTGTTTATACACATATACGTGATAAATATCTTGCCATCAGACAACAGAGCAATGTAACAAGAACAACATGTTACCTATCTCATGATGAAAGAACACAATACAAGATGTATAGCTTATCATGTGATGAAATCATTTATTTTGTAGGTGTCCAGACTGGGAAGTTATCCACAAAATAGAGTCAGTTAGGCCTTCGTTACTTACAAAAGTGTTCCTAATACATGTATATCCCAGAATCCAGCAAATGCATGAGAATAACAAGATACCCATAGCCTAAACGCCACAGGCTTACTAATAGCATGTTCACGCTTTATTTCTTTACTTTTGGAGATGTTTAAGAACACTTGTTGCAAGTATTCTGGCATGCGCTATATTGTATAGTATACTAACGAGTGACTGACAAGTTGAGATCGCTGCCAATGAGAGCGCAATGCTAGCAGCTAATTATAATATTCGACCCACTATGTAAATGAACCACCATATATGGGTATATCTGGCCGGGAACGTAACCTCTTTATGACGTAACCAACTGTTTCTCTCCTTCAAATGTGTACAGGGTACGAGATATACGGTAGTCTACAATGTGTTGTTTTTTTCTACTTGATTTAATAAATGAATAGCACCGTTAATTTTCCTCGCATGTCTTTGAGTGCATTCTGACTACTATCTGTGTGATTGGCATCCCATTTTGAGTGGAGAATACTAAATTTTGTGTCCCAGACAGTACCATATAATAATTATGTATATATACACGGGGAGATTTCTACATATCAGTTTCACTATAAGACAAACGTTCAGCCTATACTACGTAATAGTATGGTCCTGGGGGGATTGAAGAAAACAAAAATACTATGCAGGAACAATCCGTTAATCAATGACTTTTTCAACTACTACTACGAATTCCTTAGTCGAGAAATCAACCGCACAAAATTAAGTCCATCCTCTGAACAGTACCCATTGATAACTAGGTTATTATTGCTCATATAAAATTGACTTGACTGGCTAGAGCTCATCTATATATTATTGAACAGTAAAATTTAATGTGTTGCCATTTACATGTCGTATGCGACTCTATAGCAAACAACAGTCAATTTGAGTCCATCGTCAAACAAGTGTATCAGGATAAAGTTGTCATGTGCTGTGATATTTCCACTGGTTTTATCATTGGGGTCACCCTCAATGGAGACGTCAACTAGAAAACAATAACTATCACTGGCGAAAAAATAGTGAAATACCTAAACTTAAGAGGCATGCATCTAAATGTATGGACCGCACACAAAGTAGACCATAAATTTGCAACACAACATTTCGAGTTGAAAGCCAGAGTGTGGCTCCTTTCCTTTCCCTCCAAGCACTGGTTGATTGTTAGCATGTATGCACTGACACTACTGTCACAATAGTCTTTAAATTTGAGAATAAGTCCTGACACTTTCTGTAGTAGTCCTATTTATGTTTACCTTCGCGGGAGGAAACCATATTGTTTTTGCTCTGTTTCTTCTTCTTCTTCTCTAAAGAAATAAGGTCAATGACCTGAACCAGACGTCTGACACCATGGTAACTAGTGTTGGGTCAATTTTATAGCAGGAGGGATTTACACTCCTGTCACCATATATATGAATGTATTGAGTAAGAATTAACAGAGCAGACCATATGTAAACATTTGCCTTGCAAATGTTACCTTTCTAGTACTATTTAAGTCAGTATACCTGCGGGAATCGAACCCACACCCACCTGACCTGGTCTTTTCTCCACAGATGGACGCCTCGCCTGTTCTCAACATGATCCCCACCATAGACGTAGACGGCCACGAGTTCACCAACAGCAATAGAGTCACCGCCATAGACTCGGTGGAGCTCGGGTGTTACTCGCCGTGCCAGGAGGACTACCCTGTCCCCACCAGGCCCAACTACCCGACACGATGGATGTCTGCCAGAGACGTCAGGTGTTGAACCAAGACTGGCCAATGTACATCTCACTATCCAATCCATATCCAAAAAGAACATATACTAGCTGGTGTTTGAAGTAGTTCTCTGGCAACAACAGAGGACACGATAGATGCCTTACTACTACTACTGTACAGACTACTGTGATCATTGAATCATTTCAGCATTGTGATGCCATTCGTTATTCGCTAACATACGATAGGAAAAAATATCAACTGTGCGTGTGTAACTATGTATGAACTGATAGAACCACCTTATATGATTTTAAAGACTTATAAAACAGAGAAGACACTTCAAAAGTTTTTGATCTTAAAAAGGCAGATGACTGGCGTTGACTGAAATGTGGGGAGTTCTACTTTTTGTAATGGGTTCAAGACTTTGAAAAGCTATGTCATTACATTCAAGAGGACAAAATGAAGACAACCGTATGGATGGGAATCATATACTTTAAGCAACTTATAGTTAGTCTCCTGAGCTAAAAACAAATGATACCAAGCAAAACGTCCCTGTGAACTGGATTTAAGTCCAATGAGCTATAATAATCATATCCTTTAAGTGGCATTCAAAATATGATTTCAATTAAAAATTTCCCATAGTTGATAATTTGCTTGAAATGTCTCGATCAGCTGACTTGATTTGTTGCTACGTTGAATGAAAATTTTGCCATATTCTGTTTTGAAAGACACACAATGAAAAATCTTTCTGTTTAATGATACGTATTGCTTTGCTTGTCGGTTAAATTCAAGAGGTACAGAGAAAGGCCAGGATTACAAGTAAACCTCCTTGTGACATATAACAGAGCATGTTCTCACAAAATACTCTGATGCAATATCTATATCTGTCTATACACCCGTGGTTTGTACAATTTCCCAAGTGGACAGTTTCCCTTTATCAAGGCCGTAATCAACCTACACACGTTAGTAATAATCTTAAACAACAGTCTGTCTTATGATATCTGTGAAATAATAAATAAACATAGATGCAACATCACTGCTAACATTGTCATTCTTTCAAGTCTCGTGATCTTCTTCCACTATCTGTATCTGTTATATATAGCCGGTATTACCGACCTTCGGCGTAACACACCAGCCGTGTAACACACTATCATTACCTTTTATTTGTATTTCAGTTCTGATTGAAACCTAGGATGAAATCCATTGCAAACCGTGCTACCATCTATATCAGTGTTCTCCAAGTTTCCCTCACAGCAAGGATGTCTATACTCAAACTTTCTTGCTCACCATAGTTACAACAATCACTGCACGAAAATTCGGATTTACCAATAGTAGTAGCTGGGTAACGTTACTGTTCAATTTGTAAACTGTACTGTACTTTACAATGGTACGCGTTAGCGTTAGTGGCAAAACGTGTCCTGGCCGGGGTAGTTCGAAGTGGGTGAACATTACATTCTATCATGTTCCAATCATAGTAATTGGTCGTACACATCTTCATTCGGACGTACAATCGTCTCCATCCAGTTAAAAGGAGTATTTGTACTACAAGAATCAAGATTGTTCCTGAAAACTCCGGTGTGAGACATAATGCAATCTCCGGTATGATACCAGTTTTGAAACCTTTTTTTTTAAATATAATTTAAGAAAGACTCCAATATTTCTAAACCTTGATAGATATATTCTCAAACGAGAAAATTGTAATGAATTAAAAAAAAAAGAACCAAATTTGTTAAAAAAATTTTCCACTGGCCATATGACGTCATTTCATAACCACGCGATTTTGCAACGTCTACGCGCAGACGAGGATTTTGCCGCTTTGTTAAAAGTTGTCCAAAAACATATATATTTTTCATTATTGCGGGTAAGTTTTCGTCAAAATATGTAGTTAAGGTCTTGTTCAACTGGTAAATTGAAAAATTACGGGGCATTTTACGGCAATTTTACCGAAAAGACGACAAAAGTGCAGGGAAGAACCGACAACTGTGCAGCCGACTGGAGGTCTAGGTGGTGTGACGTAGGTAAGCAGTGGAACAATATTCTCCCATTTCTGAGCAAAATTTTTAGCGCAAAGGTACCTCAAACATGTTTACAATAGTCTGGAGCAAGTGTTTTGCAGGTTTATTCGTAAATTCTGTGGTAATTGTCTGTCCTTTGGGGTATTTTTCATGGTAATTTCTGGGGAAAACTCGGCAGACATTTTTAAATGCCACTGTTGTTTACAATTGACGCAGCTTCAGCTTCTCTCGTTTGACAATATAAATTTACCTCAGAGTTATTATTTTGCTTACAAAAGTCGGGAATACGTTCTTCGTGACTTAAGTGGTGAATACTGAGGAAATGCTATGTGTTTTTGGTACCTTTTTACGCGGTAATATGTGAAATAAAATGCCCAAGTAGCTATAGGACGTCATAAAATAATGATTAGCATATGAATCAGGTGTTGGTGGGTAATTGGTTAACATGGCGGATGTGCAAACCCTTTATATGCAGAAATTTGGTGTATTTTCAAACGGACCTCTCTAGTATCAAGCTGGGAGGCAAACCTGAAATACTTTTAACAGCTTTATCTTTAGGAGCTGTTCAAATTTCCATTGTTTCGACAGGTTTTGAACAGCAAAATGGCGGGCATTTTTGAAGGAGATTTCTGATGAAAGAGAATATTCAGCACTACTTTAATCCCAGCCTTACACTTGGTAGGCATGGCTATTTACTATAGTACATTATTAGTAACTGTTTTGTTTATTGTCATTAATATCTTTTCCTTTACAAGTCAATTATGTTTTGGTGTCACCATTTACACTAGCCTAGACGATAATTACATGGAAAG